GGTTCTCCTGACTTCCAAACTCTGCAAACCGGGAAGAGAAAAACGCCTTTCATAACTGCCAGCAGCATATATTTCTCAATTTTCTACTTCTCTTCGCCACTGGTTCCATTATTTGCTACAAAAAAATGTCTATTTTAACACCAAAATCATCAGACAAGAATAAAAAAAAAAAATTTAGTACTCTCAACTGGTCACTTGTTGAAATCATGCATATCATATTACATGCATTTCAAGCGATTAGCTATAGAAACAGTTCAGATTTTAGTGCAATGGCGAAACTGCGTCAAAAATCCAATGAAAATTTCCTGCAGAATTTTGTTTAGGTATTAACTGAGGTGAAATATGATGGTTCTTCTGAGAAGATTGGTCACGGCACTGTGATGGATTCGCGGCATTTCGGTCGGGTGGCTATGTTTGTTCCAGTCAGTGGAATTTCCCCGGGTAATGTGTACCAGCTCTTTCTTGAAAGGTTCATTTTTTTGTTTTCTATTTACCGTTTCTTTACTTTGAAATTGGGGGAGTATAATATACATTTTAACTGCACTTCCCTCATTTCCATCACCAAAATATGTCTCCCCCTCCCCTGCCTCCGCCCCAGTCATACTCTTTCTATCCCATCATAAGCAGGAGTTGTACATTGTGATTCTGTTTAGTCATTTCATAGCCTTTGTTTCATTTGTACAAATACATAATATGATTTGATCGTTTAGAATCCCGTCGGAGGAGCGTTGGTACGAGAAAGTGAGTGGCGTTTATTGGTTCGTATCACCTGACCAAATACTTCACAGGGGTTTTTCGAAGCGAAATGGTTGGAGAAACGAAGTATGAGACGATATTTTTCTCTTTGTGAAATATAGTATCACAGCACGGTCATTATTTTTCATGCCTTTTTGCATCTGTGCAGTGCAAAAACGCATATTTTCGAGGAATTTAATGTGTGTGTGTGTCTGTGTGCATCTGTACTGAGTTGTTACGAAGCTGAAACTTTGTCAGCTTAATCTATACATGTGTACGAGCCTATATCCGCAAAATTATCGTTCATGTCCGCGTATAGGCACGTGAAAGCGTTTAGCGGGAAAGCGATTTCGGGAACCAGTCATGCGAAAAGGCTGAAACTTCATGAAGATGTCCCATATCCACGTCCAACCCAAAGATTTTAAATTCAGCCTTCATGCACTCCTAATTCTCACATAGGTATGTGTCAAAACTTAAATTGGCATTTTGCCATCTTGGGAATCAAACTGACTAAAAAGATGTAGAGAGCTGTAATTTCACAGCGTTGCTTGTCGGCTACTGATGTGCATGTGAAAGTAAACTGAGCCTTCCAGCCCCTCTGCATTTCATGTACGAACGTGTGAAATTTAACGTAGACTTTTTATAACTTCGGAGCTGAAGCAGCTAGATGGCTGGAAATTTCTGGGCGTGACCAGCGAAGGCACTTGGCTAGGTGGACATTGAAATAACTTTCACGTTCTTTTAGTGTCTCACGCACGTTTCACGTGCGAACATGTGAAGTTTGATGGTATTTCACAACTGAAGCAGCTAAAAAGCTGAAATTTCATGAGCACAGCCCAGTGCCGTCTTTAGGTAGAGGCACATAAAAGCAACACCCGCTTTTCCTCCTCTCGTATGATAACGTGGTATGACGTAGCCACGCAAACAAGATAGCCAGAGTGCTCAAATTTCTTTAGCATGGCGCACGGCCGTGTTTGGGCGGTAAGCGTGAAGGTAGCATTCACGTCTCCGCTCACGTACGTGCACTTGGAATCTAATGTAACCTCGCAATCAAGGCAGCTACACTGCCAAAATTTCCAGAGCATGACTCAGGACCGCCTTTGGATGGGTGCAGGTAAAGCTTTCAGGTTTCCTTTCACATACGAATGCGTGGAGTCTAACGTAACCCCGCAGTTGAGGCAGCCACAGTGCTGAAATTCTCTGAGCTTGGCCATCGAACGTGTTGTTTGGGCAAGCGCATCTGAAAAAAACATTCGCGTCCATTTCGTGACCGAAGCATCTAGACTGCTGATTTTTTTTTTGTGCATGGCCACAGCTGTGTTTGTTAAGAATCATCGTAATAATATCTGAAAATCGTGATGGCTAGTCGCTGTCCGAAGTACTGTGGTTTTCGATCTCGCATAAGCGACGTTATCAAGCCACTGTACACTGTTAAGAAGGAAATGCTGGGCTAATTATGTGGCGAAAACGAAAGAAGACAGATGGCAAAAGCGGGCTGCTGAATAATGCCGTGGTATTATTCAAACAAAATATGAAAATGTGCTAGGAAGATGCAATGGAATGCCCGCATGGAATTATGCGGATGAGAGATATAAATCAGAAATAGATGAAAAAGTTACCATCTGTATCACTGGCGAGAAGAAACGCGATGATAAAACAGCGGCTGATCAGACTAAGAAAAATTTCCGTACGGTTCAGGAGATCTGTACTAACTGGCATGCTGATTTTTGTATTTGTAGATGTGAAGTATTTAACATTTATTTTGCAGCCTCAGAAAACTGGAGTGGTGGTGAGTATATCCAAGGGCAATTCATACGTCTGGA